AGCCCGAGCATTGTGAGCTACAAGACTCTCGTTCCATCGCTCCACAGGATGCGATGGCGCAGGACGTAGTAGCTGTGTAAATGTGCTAGGAATCGGAATCTTCATCCACTGGAAGGGAAGATCGTCGCTACAAGTGCAGAAGACGAAGACTACGACGTGTCAATGCGGTCATTTGCATTCTTAACATTTTAGAGCGCTTTATATCTGTGGTCGAGCATTGCACGCGTTGTAGGACAGCAACGATCGACGAATCGCGGTCTGCTCTGCTCTCCAAAGTGTCTTCTATCACTGCGCCAGCGTTGGGCGATTCTATTTCAAACGTGATGTTGCCGGCAAGCGGCGTCGGCGTCCTGGCGTGATGCCGCTAAGAGGCACTGCGATCTTAGTTTGGCGCGCATCTTGGATCGCGTCTCGCGACCGCTGTGCGCCTCGCACGTCGACGCAGCCTCGCTTTTTGGGCTACCCACTGCGTCCTTTTTCAATGGGCCTGGTCGGGGTTAATCCAGTTTCTGACAAAAAGATGTCAACTGGGCGAGATTGGGATAACGGTTTCCAAAGGTCGCGCCAGACAATTCTCCAAGCCACGCCACCCCATCGTGGACTTGCGTTTATATTCTTTGTCCACTGAAAGAGGTACTACCTGTATTAGTTATACCTTCCGTGAGCGGTACAAACACACGAACCAAGTACTCACGACCACATGATGAATGTGCGTATGCACGTCGTCTATTCAACATAGTATCTCGACGATTCAACGTCCACGGGCCTCTTGTGCTCGGTGCTTGTTTCAACCATCCACGCGATGTAGAAGACGCAGCGCATTGCAGTACACCTCCTGAAATCGACACTCAGGAGACCGTGGCACACACATAGAGCAACGTACCGACTTGGAGGTAAGCGTTGGACGGTATGGCCTGGGGCGTCCTCAACGAGGTGCGACCTTGTCGTCTCGAGGCGACAGATCGCGGCGCGCACGACGAATGTCAAAGCGCAAAAGAGGCACAGCAAGCATCACGCGAGCGTCTCGAGATGGCTCTGCGTTTTCGCGGCGACTACGAGTCGCAGCGGCGCCAAAGAGCAGAAAGTAGCAAGTCGAGGCGTCTTTCGAGGACGCTAGGAAGCGCTGCACGCTATAAAGCGTCCACGCGCATGATCGGCGAGCCCGGCGGCTGCCAACACGGCGTGGCCACGAGACGGTCCGTCTCCATGACCGCTATAGCTTGAGCACGTCATCCACATAATCAGCGTCCAGCCACGTGGCAAGAGCCGTCGGCAGACGCGCTAGGCTATGATGCGGGAAGTCTGGCCATTCTCCTTGGCGAATCGCGAAGTCCGGATACGTTAATCCTGCCCTCGTAAAATAAACTTGAGCTAAAAACTCGGCAATTCTATCTGAAATTGATTTGGTTTTATAATTACGCCATCTGGATCATCCGGACCAATGTTGCCGAGGCATCAGGCCATGACCTCCGGCTATTCAAGATACGAGTATCAAGGGTCAGTAATTTGACCCTTGCTAGTATGCGCAAGTCAGGACCAGCACGGATGGCGTCAAGGTCAATCCATGCAATCTCGTTGATGCGTGCTGTAGTACAACGCAGACGCCGCTGCCCGAGCCTTGAGGTTACAGCAAGGTTATCGCCTTCTTTGCCGGTAGCTGTCGAGTGATCTTGAGCGAGAGCTGAGTGGATGGCCGCTAGACTGGTACAACAGCGCGTGTATTGTGTGCAAGCTAAGTGCATGGCAGATTGTTTTGGGCTATCGCTTGTTCGCAACGATATAGCTGTGTCGCCTTCGCGGTTGATGTCACGTTTGAACGGTTTGCTGGTTCTGCTACCCGATGATCGACTATGCTGAATGACAATGCAGGATGGATTGGTCTCATTGACGACAACGCGAGTCGGAGTCTTGGATCAAGCTCACCAAGGCTTCATGATAGCTACCCGGAACGGAGCGGACAATCTTCTACGCCGGTAATGTATCTTTTGGTATCTAGTCTTACCCAATTTTTAGAGACGATAAAAATGAAGTCCTTGTGGCCTAATGGATAAGGCATCGCTCTCCGAAGGCGGAGATTGCGGGTTCGAGTCCCGTCAAGGACTTTTTGTACTAGCGCACTATCTTATAACGTACGCCGCACTAGGTGTCCATACCATAGGTATGCATAGGTCTACACTTATTCGTTATTTTAGTATCCCGGCCACGAATTTGTATTAAAGCTGTGCTACTATATGTGGACTCGGTATGGGTTGCCGCTAACGTTAACGCTGTAAAGTTTCGAGAGCGTGCACGAGAGTCAGTGGTATATACAGCGACCTCAACCAGCTCATCTTCGCAGCGCTTGGTCTGAACGCAGCAATAAACGGGACCTAGCGCGGCTACGATGGATAACGGCAAAGCCCTGGATGTACACTGATCTGATGTGATGACCATGCCGACGCGACCCGTCGTACCGTCCAATTTCTATACTGAGCCTTCATACGACGGTTTTCGTACGGTGGTTTTTCTCCGCATCTCCGAAGACTACAAGAACTACATGACAACTCCGGCCTAACGAAATGCGCGCGGATGATCGCCATGGTTTTCCTTCCTCACCCGCGGCCACAAGCGTCGTTGGGCGACGACAGAAGAGCCAGACGAGCCCCCGCGCCGCCGCCTGCGCAGCCACGGACCGGCGAGCGAATGAAGAAGAAGGAGATTGCTAGTCTCTACGTATGCGAAGTCTTTGTGTAACTATGAAGATAACGCGAAACACGTTCATATATATATAATGCATGTCATTTGTTTACTTATTAACTCCCACGCATTCAGGCGTAGCGCTACGTATGCGAAGTCTTTGTGTCATAATGAAGATAACGCGGAACACGTTCATATATATATAGAATATCTCAACATCTCAACATGAGCCCACCGAATGGACCAAAACTAGCTGGCAAGTTCGGTCGGCTTCAATATGTAACACAAGTAAGCAC